AGAATATTTTAATTTTGCTGCTATGGAACACTGATACAAGAAAAATAATAAATTCAATTGATAAAATAATATTTTACTACATTAGAAAAAACGTTCCTAAGTAACATGGTGCTGTTCTCAAGGTCACTGGAGAATTGCATGAAAAAGCTAATTTATTTGAAGGAAATGCTTGCTTTTAATTTTAAAGCTACTTTTTAAATTTTAAAAGATAGTAACCTTTTAATTTAAAAACAAACTAGTCTATGTCTAATGTGAAAACTGTCTTTGCTATTTAGGATTTCTGGCAGAAGTGGTACTGATAAAGCAAATATCCCACCTGTCATAGATAGCAGGATAAATAAAAGGTATGTAAGCATGAGCTGGAAAGGTACCTGGTTTGATAGAGAATTGTAACTTTTCTGAGACTGATCTTTTAAATTTTGTTACAGCTTATTTGCCTTCCTCAGATCTGGATAAATTTTATGAGTTATATCTCAGAAAAATAATTAACATTATTAAAAGTCTGATTTGTTAAATAAGTAGGTATGGCCCAGTGACGTTTATGCTAACATAACATACTGCATGCTTATATGCCACTATGGAGAGAACTAGAAGATAGGAATTGCAGTGTATTTTCTTGACATGTCATCTCAGTGTAACAACTAGTAAGATAGGGTTTACTGCCTGAACAGGGGGTTGGACTAGATCAGTGGTTCTCAACCTGTGGGTCGGGACCCCTTTGGGGGTCGAACAACCCTTTCACAGGGGTCGCCTAAGACCATCGGAAAACACATATTTCCGATGGTCTTAGGAACCAAGACACCGCTCCTCTATCTCCTTGCCCTCCTCTTCTCTCTCTCTCTCTCTTTCTCTCTCCCTCTCCCCGCCTGGGCGCTTCTCCAACCAGGCTGGGCGGAGCGGCAGAACGGCCTTCCCCCCCTCCCTGGCCAGCTGGATGGGGGGTTGGGGGTCACCACAACATGAGGAACTGTATTAAAGGGTCGCGGCATTAGGAAGGTTGAGAACCACTGGACTAGATGATCTCCAAGGTCTCTTCCAACTTGATGGCAATATAGAGTGATCCCAGGTAATATGATACTGCTGCATTTTGCATCAATTTCAGTTTTTGGATAGTTTAAGTAGACCAGTTTTGTGTGGAGTCATTTCAGTCAGAGGCTTTTGTATTGCGGGATCAAAGGGACAATATGACTGAAGCACTGTCTCCCAAGCTTCCTGCAGTGCCTCCTTCTGTTGAAAGTCAGAACAATAGAGGAAGCATTAGTTGTGAACTTTTAAAAATAAGAGGAATAAAACTTTTCCTTTGAGTTTAAGCAGATTTCTATGGAAATAACCCACTATTGGACAAAATAATCCTACAGTGCTGCTAGAATCTCTGGTGCAAACTTAGAAATTGTATTTGATAGGATAGTTTAAAAAGGACAGTTCAGTTTTCTGGAAAATCATGTCAAAAAACTGACATACCATAGGAACAGACTCTGAAAACTAGAGACACTTCCAAGCACAAAAACCTTTGAGGTATTAAAGCATTTTACTCTTGTGTATGCTTTAAAATAAAGCATTAAATCCTGAAGGAGGGTTTTAGAAAAATGTTCCCCTGTATCTGCCCAAACAACAATTCACAGAATCTTGTAATCCTCTTCATGATTACAATTTAGCTTTTTTTTTTTTTTTGATGGTGGGGAGATCCAAGCTTCCTTTTAAGGGACCTTCTGATCTTCAGACTCCCTTCCTTTTCTCTTTCAATTCATCCTGAAAACAATGGCTTTCTCCCCAGAAACGGAGGCATGTGGGGTGGGTCAGGGGAGGTGTAAGGCAAATAAATTCCCTTTTGCCTTACTTAATACTGGGATCCCTACATATTCCCAACCATGGCTTACACATTTAAACAAAAAGGTTGATTTCATGTTTTGGAATCAGCAATTCACAGATAAAAGAGACAGTAAGCAACACCTTGTACCTGAGAAAACTGAGACTGTGAGAAGGAGACCCAAAATAACCCTGCCTTGACTCTGTACAGTGTAAGTGGGGGCAGAGGGAGAGTCTGTCAGCTTACCACAGAGTTCCAATAGTCCTTGCAACGTTTATTTCCTTATCTGATCTACCAAAGGGCTGGCAGATGGCTGAAGTGAGCGCAGAGGGTGAATGTGGAAGAGGAGGAAGGCAGGGCCATATGTAGAGAGAGATGATACATACTGTGGGAAGTCAGCCCCCCAGAGAAGGAAATACTAAAAGGGCAGGAAAATATATTTTCGCAAAGGATCTTGAAGAGGCAGGAAAGCATGCCCAGTTTTCTTAATAGCCCCAGGTCTCCCTTCCCCAAGCAGAAACCAGCTCTATAGACATGCAGATGTAAATCAGGGAGCTAGGAGATTAAGAAGACAAAGACCTAAAATCTACATACCCCACCCAAACTCTAAGAGTCATCAGCCCCAGCTTCAGGGAAGCAGGATATGACCTTTGGACATAATAGGATTAACCCATCACCATCAGAATACCAGAAAGGCACACTCAGACTCAGGTCAAAGTTCATGCCACAAGAACAACTCCAAACAAAAGGCTCCAGAGAGTATAAAAACCCACTCCCTACATGTGTTCACTCCTTTTTCTGCCAGAGCCATCTTCCTGTCTGGCTCTCCTCTTCAATAAACTGCAACCTTCTTTCTAAAGCAGTCGCCATGTTATTTATCCCCGGCTTGGACTGAACCACGATGAAGACTTTCCTTCCAACAATACAAAAGTGGTGTAAAATTGACCTCGCAAAGTCCATCCCTTTTGTATGCATGACATCATACTGCACACACATGCAAAAGATGTGGCTCTTATATTGCAACAGCGTGACACTAACTTTGAATAAATTCTAGCAGTTGCCTCAGGAAGAGGCTTTCTTATTTACGTTTCCTAAAATTCCTTCACTTTTTCTGGTTGAATCTTTATAAATCTTTATAAAATAAAGGATAGCTGTTCCCTTTGTACCTTCCTCCACTCTCTGAACATGGACCTTATCATCTTCAAAGATTTCCTGGAAGGACCATCCTTGGCAGGGTTTGTCTTGTAAATTGCTTGTAAAGTTTTTAAAAAGTAGGAAAGATAGATCCACAGTCATGTAGGAAGTCAGCACCCCCCCCCCAGAGAATGAAATATTTTGGGGAATATTAAAAGAGGCAAGATAGAATATTTCCCCTAAAGGAGAAATGGAGAAAAAAATCAGTCCCAGTCTTCCTGTCTCAAGCAGAAACCTGAAGAGGCTAATATTTAGAAATGGAGATTTTGTAATCTATTCAGAAAGACTGGGCCACCCTATTCATAAGCAAAAACGTCTTCAGCAACAGCTCCCATAGAAGGCTGGAGCTGATGGGATTAGAAAAACAAAGGCTCCTAAAATCTACATTCCCCACCCTGCTCCAAGGACAGGGCAAATAATTAGAATACTAAAAGGGCACACTCAAGCACAAGTCAAAGTACATTTCACAAGGAACAGGCATCTCAAACACAAAGCCCCAAAGAATGTATAAAAACCCACCTACTCCCAACAACATTTTGTTAGCTGTCCCAGAAATGCATGCTGTTGCTGGTTCTGCTCATCAATAAACAGACCTTCTTTCTAAGCAGCTAGCCTCCATTTTATTTCCAGCGCCTTTTCTCCCGGCTTGGAACTGGACCTGATTTTTCTTTCAACAGCCATTAGAATGTAGCTATTAGAGACTCGATTCTCAGCTATCAGCTAAATTTCAGAGTATATTGAGAATAAATCACCTTGGCTTTTGTTTCAAATTTGCAGGTACCAAGACGTGGATGACTATATCAAAGTGAATCATACCTCTAAATGGGAAGAGAAGCGGTAAGTCTTCAAGTGAAATCAGCACTGAGATTGTATTTTGAAAAGAGTATTATTTTAATTTTCCCTTGTCATTGTCACTCCACCCGGTCAAAAAAACTATGTGAATCTACCATTGATAAGGAGGCAATCTTTTATGTTTCCTTGTTGAATTTTTTTAAAATAATATTTTATTAATTTTCCAATTTTACATTTAAGTATTTAAAAAGCAACGTGGTGGCTGGGTTAATCAATAGTTCGATAACATATAAAAATCTTTAGTACAAATCTCAAGATACGACATCAAATATTTCCTCTCTTTTTCCTTTAACATCTACTGTCTCGTACAGTATTTAAGCTAATACAGTTCTTATTATATCAACTCAATAAAAAAAAATTTCCCCAATTTTTAGTTTCCCATCAATATTCCAATTTAACATTTGATATTTTTAATTTTCAGGCTTTAGGTAACCAAAATTTCCCTTATCTCAATTCATAACAGAATCTAATATTCAAAATACACATTTTATCTATTTAAATATAGTCTATTTCCTAAAAGTTATCTATTTCCCACCATATTAAATCATCTGCTTAATAATACAATATCTCCTTTAATAAATCAAAACCATTATATATATTGCCTGGATTAGTCAATAAATCAAAAATATTCATAATAATTTTTTTTCTTTTAGGTCTAAGTTTTAAATGTTAAACAGATAAAATCCTTATTTTCAACTAATTTCCAAATATTTTAAACCTAATGACCAAAATTTCCCTTATCTCAACTTCTCCCTTTAACCCTCCAATTAATAATATGAAATCCCTCTAATAAATCAAAACCCCAATTTTCTTCAGCCTTATTTTGACTTTCTTCCTTTGCCAACTAGCCTTTCATATCAGTGCTTTTAGATCGTCAAATAGATCTCCCTCCTTTATTATATATGTTATTTGAAATAAAGGAGATCATTTAATTGCTATTTTTTTGGAAGGGCTAGCCCATTTGTATTCATTAAGTTGTCTCCCTATTATTCCAATTCCCCATGATTGCCCTGATATGTTTATCTTCCATTCAATCTGTTCTTCTTTCTCAAATTTGTTCTGATTTATATAGAAAGTCTTTTCCATTTTCAGTGTTATCACTCCCTTTTCTGAATTTTCCATTAACTGTATTTGTTGGTCAATTGAGTCCTCTGAATATTTGATTGTTCCATTATTCTGTTATCTTCTGCGTTATTAGTTCTTTGGTTGTTGTCAAAGTTCTTCATCCATATTCTTTTAATAATGTGTTAAGTTGAAGACTTTAAAATCAGACGTTAAAAATAATTTTATAACTAGGTATGGGACCTCTCTTTCACATGTTTATAAATAGTCTTTATAGTAGAAGTCATTGGTCAAGCAAGATTTTATAGTCCGAGGTATTTCATCATCTCATATAGTAACCAATGTTCCTCAGATAAAGAGATAGGAAGGGAGTTTCCCTCATATAACTCTGAAAGTCAGTAACGGTTTACATTCATATTTCAAATAGGCCAGTTATGCCACCCAGCTGTTCTCTTTACAGCAGAGTTTCTCACAGGTGGTGCCAAGGTCAAAAGAGTCTTATCTAAGATAGGAAATAACAAGTTGTAATACCACATGTCACCACAAGATGTCACCGATGCCATTTAAAGTTTTTTAAGTCCAAAATTTTTATAATCCTTTTTCCAATTTTATTTCTTTTTTATAGATAAAAGCAAAAGTCTCCAATAAAAATAAGAAAATGTTTGGTCCCAAAGTTTCAGGAACATATAAATCCAATTAGATTAAAGTTGTTATTTTAGTGTTTTAATTCCCCTGGGTAGTCAGTCGCCGCTATTCTTAGAGGGTGGGATAGAAATTCCCTTCCATCTTTCCTCACAGGGGGAAAGCTACTTTGGGCAGCTTTTACAGGAAAAGAAAATGCTTAGAATAAAGAGAAGATCAGATCTCACCCAGTTTCATCCATGTTGCTTTCAAAGTGCTTGGTGGTGAGTTTGACTTCGGCTGTCTGCAGCCTAGTGATGAGCCGTATTACTATGGCTGGTCTTTCCTCCGCCGGTTTGGAGGGCTGCCCCAGATCGAGCAGAAGGGCTGCTGCCCTCCCGCGATCAAGCAGGGGTCCCCTCCTTGCTCATCGCCCCTAGAGGGTGACTTTCGACCCTTTCCAGGGTCCCCCAGCAGAGCGAAATCAAACGCGGAAGACAGAGCTCACCTTCCAGCATCCGTGGCAGCTGCGATGGCAAACTGGAAGTCCCTTGTTGAATTTTAAAACATACATATGCATGTCCACTTCTCTCCAAATATTATGTAGCTATATTATTCATACACATTATTTGTTAAATTTATACTTGTCTTTTCATTAAAACAAACCAGTGCTGCTAATAATAGCTACTTGCAGATAGAATCTAGAATTACAATTCAGATGTTAAATATATTAAAAGGAATTAACGTACATTAATAGTTCTACCTGCTTGAAATCTTTACACTGATTTTGTGTCATTTTTAAACAAGCTGTGACCTGGAGAATCTGATTGCAGTCAAAGATAACAGCAAGGAGGGGTAAGTCTCTATTCACGTCTGGTATAGATATTTAGTATTAATTTGTACTACTTCTACCATTCTTGACACTGCAGAAAAGTGTTCAGGTAATCCTTAGAGAAGGGTGGTGCATAGTTAGAATCGGAATTTCTGTTGGTAAGCAATGTGGATGTAAAGCATAATGTCACATGACTGTGTTGCTTAGGTTGGCAGGATGTGAGCACTGCTGGGCTGGAGGTGGTTGTTGCAAGGTGTTGAGAAGGCACATGTGGGGCAGCACAACACAAGCTTTGCAAGGCTGGGGATGGCTGCTGGAGGGTGTGCAAGAGGCCAGTCTGGTGTGAGCTCTGGGCATAGTTGCAGGAGGGTGAACGAGGGTGCAGCGGGCGGTGGGCAGGGGTGGCTACTGCAAATCAAGGACTACTTGTAGTGGCATGACTTGGCTATCTCCATGCTGAACACTATCTTGCTTTTAATGTGTGCTTCAAGGCATTGTCAGTCACTAAGAGAATTTATATTCCTTAAAACTATTCTTGGATGGTGTCAGAAAAAGAAGGAAAAGACTTTTTCAAAACTGGTACAGTTAAGAATGACTTAAATCTGCCTCCCTCGGGACGTGGAGACAAAGGCAATTTGGTAAAATGAAGTTGGGCCAGTGTATGCTTAGGTGTAAATGGGAACTGGACCTTAGAAAGGTTGGGAACCGCTGTTCTAATCCAACCCTCTGCTCAAGCAGGAGACATGATACCATTCCGGACAAATGTTTGTCCAATCTCTTCATAAAAATTGCCAGTGCTGGAGTACCCACAACTTCTGGAGCAAGCTTTTCACCTGATGTATTTTTCTCAGTATTAAGAAGTGTTGTAGTAATTAAACCTGCTTTGCTAATCTCTTTCTGAGATTAGAGCCGTAGTGGCACAGTGGTTAGAATGCAGTATTGTAGGCTGACTCTGTCCACTGCCAGGAGTTCGATCCTGACTGGTTCAAGGTTGACTCAGCCTTCCATCATTCTGAGGTCAGTAAAATGAGGACCCAGATAGTTGGGGACAATATGCTGACCCTAAACCACTTAGAGAGGGCTGTAAAGCACTGTGAAGTGATATATAAGTCTAAGTGCTATTGCTATTGCTTTGAAAATGCTCCTATACGGTGCTTCAGTACTTAACAAGTTCCTACTGTAATTTGCAGATCATATAAGGTAAGTAAGATAGAAAAAGTCATAAGACTCCATTTGCTTGAAGGAAGCTATGCCTTTAGGTCTGCCTTCCCCTTATGCTTTTATATCAGTTTAATTTTGCAATATATTAAAATAAATTACCGTTGTTTCATCTTTACAGAAACCAAGATCTGGATGACTTCATCATAGTGAATTGTACATTTGAGCCAAGTGACAGGAGGTGAGTTTTGCAGCCACAGTGGGCATTTGTATTACATTTCTGATCTAGTGTTAAAAACAATAACTTTCATTATACATCCCAGTCCCCATCTGGCAAAACCCCGAGTAAATCTTGCATTATTTTATTCATATCCTTTAAGTATCTTTTCTGTTCTAATAAATGGTATCAAACTTTTACTGTGATCAAAGATCAGCACACAAAATGTTTTTTTTCCTATGTGTCTGTATGTTAGATAACTTAATTTAAATTTAATTTAAAATATGAATTATAAAATTAATTACAAAATTATACAAAGAAATAAGCTATTGTGTCTTTATGGCAGTTTTACAAATTGGTGATAAGACAACACTCTGCATTGCATCTTGACTGGTATCTAACAGCAGCAGTTTAATGTAAAACTCATTTGCTTTATCTGGCATTTGTTGGATGCTAGATGGCATTTGCAAGAGTTCCTGGAATAATCCCAGTTAAGGGCACATGCTGAATTGTCTCTGTCTGTGTCAAGTCATATACAGGTAGTCCTTGACTTACAACATTAACGGAGCCTGTCATTCATATCAGAAGTTGAGGATTATGTTAAATGAAGCATCTAACTAATGACCTCCCTGTCCCTGTTTTCCCCAATGCATTCGTTAAACGACTGCGTGGGTTGTTAGGTAGAGCATGGGGTGACTTAGAGTTGGGAGAAACCAAGGGAGGCCTAGTGCAGGCACAGGCACTCCCAGTAGGCCTCTCCCACCCTCTAAGATATCCCATGCTCTTCCTCCTCCCCCTTGGTTTCCCCAAAGCCCTATGGGCCTCCTTCATACCTCACCCCATCACCATTCGCTTACTTACATTTTGATGAACTCAGGAAGTCAGTGTAGAGAAGGCCGCTCCTTCGCTGGGCCACATGGCACAATCAAGAAGAACATATCCGGTTACTTTTGCTTCCATGGCAATCCTTTCCTCTCTAGCCAGCATAAACTACTTTTCCTTAGCTCAGTGATGGCAAACCTTTTAGAGACCGAGTGCCCAAACTGCAACCCAAAACCCACTTATGCATCGTCGGGTGCCGGGTGGGAGTGGCCCATTGGCTGGGTGTGGCCCATTGGCTGGACACGGCTGCGGTGGTAACAGCAGACTGGGTGGGACTAAAAAGTTCAATCAATCAATTCCAACTTTGCAAGATCTTTTTTTTTCCCATGAGAAGTTGAAATTGACTGATTGATTGAACCTTTTTTTTTTTTTTGCATATGCGGCAGAGGCCTAAAGTGAAAAGGTTTTATAAAACCCAGCTGAAGGCCTAGGACTGGGGCGACGGCGCGAGTGCCCACAGAGAGGGCTCTGAGTGCCACCTCTGGCACCCGTGCCATAGGTTCGCCACCACTGCCTTAGCTCCTCCGGAGCTAGTTTTACACTGGTGGCGCTAAGAAGATATTGTAATGGTTTACCCTGGCTGGGGAAGAAAGGATTGCCATGGAAGCAAAAGAGATGGAATTTCTTCTTTGCTCTACCAGCATAAAACTAATGTAAATCTAGCACTAATAGAGCAAAGAAGAAATCCCATCTCTTTTGCTTCCACGGCAATCCTTTCATCTCCAGCCAGCGTAAATCACTACCAATTTATGCTGGCTTGGGTGAAAGGATTGCCATGGAAACAAAAGAGATTGGATTTCTTCTTCTTGATTATGTCACGTGGCCCTGCGAGGGAACAGCCTTCTTTACGCTGACTTCCTGAGCTCATCAAAAACTAAGTAATTGAATGGTGATGGGGGAGTGGAGGCAGGGAGGAATGTATAGAACCCACTATATTGACAAAGCAGGCCAACATACTGGGTTCTGGAGGCCTCTGAGGACCTGGCCAGACAAGATGGGAGAGAAATAGGTGGGTGGGTTGCTGCAGCATCTCTGAAGTCGGTCGTAAGGGCGAATGACCACAAGAGGGCTGCAAAATTGGTAACTATGAAACGGATTCATAGCATTTGGGATGTACGTTGTAACTTTGAACGTTCATTGAATGGCCTGTCGTACTTCAAGAATTATCTATATACAGAAAGCTTCATATATTGGAATATTGTTATATCTGTCAGTTAGGAGAGCAGAAGGTGAAACATTATGGCTAGCTCTGAAGAATTCTTTCCTTAAACTAGAGGAGATCAGAGTGCTCAGGTTATTTATTAATTTATATTTATTTATTAAATTTATATGCTGCCCATCTCATCAGAGACCTTACATCTGCTTACAAACATTAAAACTAGTACACATTAAAATAATAACAAGATAAATAACAATAATAAATACCGTTAAAGGACGGGAGGAAAGGGAACCCAGAAAATATGAGGAGAGGTGGGGGTCTTTCCTAATCCAATATTGGTGGACCCTCATTGGGCCTCCAGGCCAACTAGCAGAACCAGATCTTCAGGTCCTTGCAGATCTCCTCTTGGGGAATACAAGATGGGCAGGAGCCATGGCAGAAAATCCTCTTCTCATGGACCACATGAGCCAAAAATCCTTGATTGACAAGGTGCACAGCATGACCCCCCACACACACTGCTGGCTCAGGTGGAGTGAGCCAATCCCAATGGCTGATATGTTACTTCAGATAATTTGGACCCATGCCATGAAGAGCTGTAAAGATGACATCTTGAACTGCGCCCAGAAGCAAACCAGCAGCCAACGCAGCTCTCAGAACAGCAGTGTAACATGGGCCACCCTAGGGGCCTCAAGAACTGCCAGTGCCACTGCATTCTGCACCAGTTCTGAATATGCTTCAAGGGTAGCTTCAAGGGTATGCTTCAAGGGTGGCTCCACATTGCAGTAGTCCAAGTGTGAGATGACTAGGACTTGAATTTCTGAGCACATGGTTCCCTACCCAAGAAAGGATGAAATTGGTGCACAACACGGAGTTGTGCAAAGGCTTTCCTAGCCAAGACTGCCACTTGCTGTTCGAGCAGGAGTCGTGAGAACCCCCAAGAAGCACATCAGGTCTGTCTGGGATACTGCAGCTCCAGCCAGAACTAGAGATGTTAAAGCCCTGGAACTCAAAGCTCCAGGTACCCAAAGTCATTTGATCTTCCTACGGTTCAGTTGAAGCAGTTATATAGAATTGAGCATCATCCGCATACTGATGATACTTCAACCCAAGGTGACAGACGATCTCATCCACTGGCTTCATGTAGATAGATATTAAAAAGGCGTGGAGAGAGTATAAAGCCCTGCAGCATGCCACAAAGGAGTGACTGGGCTGGATCTCTCACTCCCTATTAACACCAATTGGCCTCATAGAAAAGAGTCAAACCAGTGCAAAACTGTGCCACCCAGCTTCAAACCCTATAGCTGGCCCCAAAGGATACCAGAGTCAATGGTATTGAAAGCCACTGAGAGGTCAAGAAGAGTAAGGACGATTGCATCACCCATCCCACTATTGCTAGAGATTATCAATGATCAATGCTCTTTCTGTCCCTTTCCTGGGCCTGAATGCTGGCTGGAAGGGGTCCAGATAATCAGACTCTCTGAAGCTGCTGTTGTACTTTCCCTAAAAAGGGAAGGTTGGAAGCTGGACAAAAACTGTCCAGGTAGGTGGGGTCAAAAGATTATCTTTTAGAAGGGGGTGAACCACGGCCTCCTAAAAGGTTCCCAGGAATGTTCTTTCCTGCAGGGAGGATTTAATCACTGCCTGAACCCACCTGGTGTCACCATCCTGGAGGTTTTCACCAACCAGGAGGGACAAGAATCTAATTTGACAGGTGGTTGCACTAACAGCATCAGGATCAAATTGTTTCCAGATAACTGGATAAGGCCTCTCCCCAGACATCTCACATGGACTAGCACCAAGCTTGGATTCCGACTGGGGATGAATCCAAATGACTTTATCAGATGTTGAACAAATTCCAGAGCAGAGTGGCATAAGAGAATCCAGGGACACCAGCGTGTGGTCACATTGCCATTGCTCTGTCAAAAAATCATATCCAGTGTGTGACCAGTGTCCCGAGTCAGACCCAAGATGATTTAGGATAGGGCCATGGCTGCTATTGTAGTCAGGAAATCCTGGGCCAAACTGGGGGATTGCAAATTGAACTCCCCCAGGACCATAAGCCTGGGGAACTCTCCTGCTAGCCCCAAGAAGGCCTCCAGCAGCTCAGGCAGGGAGACTGTTACGCAAAAGGGAGGTAGTCCTGTAGCAACACTCCAAACTGATCTTGTGAGCCTAGCTTCAGGAACAGCACCTCACAGCCAGAAACATTGGGAGCAACACTCCTGAAGGCCAAGAGAGATTGTCAGATGACCACTGCAACCCCACCTGCCCTGCCCTGAGGTCTTGGCTGATGCCAAATCTTAAACCCAGCTGGACACATTTCTGAAATTGGACCTCCCTTTCTGGAGTCACCCAAGTTGTGATGATACATGCCAGGTCAGCTTGCTCCTCCTCAATAAGGTCTTGAATGAGGGGAACCCTATTATTGACCAATCTGGTATTCACCAGCAGCAGCCAGATCACGGGGCTTCCAAGGGGATGCTGTCCAGTGGCTAGGAGTGAGCTCAGGGAACTTGAATACATTGGGAGCATCTTCTCCTGTATCAGCCTGATCTCTGGCTTCCGTAACATCTCATGCCCACCATCTTACTAATAAATAAAGGGCTTGGAACCACAAGAAGGAAGAAGGTTCTTGGTGACAATTTAAATTAAATTCACAATATTAATTTTGTTTTAAGAAAATAACTTGAATTTCCAAGACTGACCTGTATTTTGTATTCCACAGATCTGTGATCTGTATTCTACAGATCAGTCAAGCCATCAAAACAGTATTGCCAAGAGATGATATGGGAGATTTCTCAAGGATGTACTGTATAGGAAGCTATCAAGGGCCTGATCGAGCTATTTTAACCAGTCCTGTATCTGCAGAGATTTTTATTAGCTATCAATCTACATCTGATGAAGGAATGATTTTCCTTGACAACAGTCACATGGATCTCTTGAAAAGAAAACTAAATTTAATGTCTTCCCTGTTTGGTGTGTTGGACCAAATATTATTTGGGACAGGTTCTTAGTCATGAAATCATGACTGAAGACGCTGAAATCTTCCAGGACAAGCAGTTCAGATTCATATAACACCACATACAAATTTACTCTAGTTAGCCTAGGAAGACTGTTAAGCATTAGCATAGGCAGCATACAACAATTTCCCAGGGCTGCCTTGACTATCCAAAGACTGCAGCATGTATTCAGAATTGGCAGGTGGAAGTGTTAGTCAGATTGAGTTGAGATCACCCACTACCCATCTTAATTGTCCAGAGTGGCCTACTAGCCAAAACTGGGACAGAAGAACTATCCAGGGTTCCGATTGTCAAGTGTCTATAATACAGGTAGTCCTTGATTTGCAATCATTCATTTAATGACCATTCAAAGTTACTGAAAAAAGTGACTTATGATTCTTTTTCACACTTAAAACCATTGCAACATCCCCATGGTCACATGATCAAAATTTGAACGCTTAATAACTGGTATATATTTATATTTATGATGGTTGCAGTGTTCTGGGGTCATGCGATCACCTTTTGCGACCTTCTGATAAAAAAAGCTAGTTGGAAAGTGATTCGCTTAACAACTGTGGCAAGAAAGGTCATAAAATGGGCAAAACTCATGTAACTTACTCATCTTGCTTAGCAACGGAAATTTTGGGCTCAATTGTGGCCACAAGTCAAGGACTACCTATATTACTAAGTTGTGATTTTACCAGCGCAATTAAACTCGGAAAACAGTGAATATTTTAAATGTCTATGGAGAAAGCACCTTTGGGAGTGGATATTTTACTAGCAGCTAATTAGGCACTGAGGAACTTTTGACCTTTTTGGTTAGGCTGTAGCCTGCCTTCCCTTCCATACAAAATCCCAGTTTCATCATTCCCATGTGTGTTTGCTCCAACCCATTATCTAGTCCTCATTTTCATCCCCTTTCTGAGTACAGTACATCTCTTAACACTAGGCCACAGCCAACCTGCAGTTTTCCTTCCTTCCATACAATGGCCTACCTGTTCTCCTGGCACTCACATAAACATGGAGAAGTACAAATGAGGTGTCCCTTGGCTCCATTTAAGGGATTAACAGGTTTTCAAAAGGTCTCTCACATACCCCACAATAATCTCTGAGCGCCACCTATCCTGTGTGAAAACTCTTTTCCACAGGTATCAAGTACACAAAAAATATACAAACAGCAAACCGCCTTTGTTTTTGTTTTGCCTTAACAGATCCCAAGACCTACACAATCTCATCAAAGTGAATCATATGTCTAGTCAGTTCAGAAAGGAGTAAGTTTCAAATCTGAAAGCTGTATTACATTCTGAATCTAGTTTGAAAATTGTAAAATTTCATGTTCTTCCCTATTCCACTTTCCTCCCCAAAACTCTAGTGAATCTTATGATGGCTAAGGGGGTTAAATCAATTTCTACTTCTTTATGAAGCTGTAAGCTTCATTGTTCCATGGGCATCCACAGAGAAATTTAAAAAATGAAGATGGCAGTTGCTTCTATATGATTGACTCTACAACTTTTATTAAGTGCATGGGATGTCAAAAAACATAGAAAAGAGGCTGAGGTTCACTATTGGCATACCTGCTGCATAGAAATTTAATTGATTTTAATAGGTGGTATAGGTAGTAGCTGTGAGAGGGATTTAGATTTCCAAAAGTGGGCCACCACTTAAGTATGAGCCAGCTGTGTGCTACAGCTGCCAGAAAAGCCAATGCAGTTCAAGGCTGCATCAACTGAAGTATAGTATCAAGATCACAAGAAGTATCCCTCTGTACTACACTAGCGAGGCCACAGTTGGAATACTGTATCCAGTTCTGATCACCATGGTACAAAAAAGATGCTGAGACCCTAGAAATAGTGCAGAGAAGAGCAAGTAAGACGATAAGAAGTCTGGAGGCTAAATCGTACAATGAACATTTGAGGGAACTAGGTGTGTCTAGCCTAATGAAGAGAAGGATCAGTGTGACTTGATAATTGTCTACCAGTACTACCAGGGATTGTCCGTCAAGCACAGGAAATTAGGAGCCAGGATAGAGTTCAAAGGCATTTATGAGTTTATGTCATGCAACTTATACACAAGAATCTAATCTACTAATGGTCAAGGCATATTGGCACCAGATAAGAGTCAGCGGACTTCAAGGGTGGCTGTACTTAGGTCTCTTATGGGGCATAGTGATTCCAAACTGATAATGCATTTGACCCCACCCTCAGGCTCAGCTCAGTCATCTCCTTCCCTGTCCCAGAGAACAGGAAGTTGGCTTACTCTCTAAAGCACCTGAGGACAGAACAAGAAGCAATGGGTTGAAACTTGTTAACAATTTGCTTTCTGGAGTTCTGGGGTGCTCCATAGCTGGAGGTTTTTAAGAAAAGATTGGACATTCATTTGTCCAGGATGATATAAGAGCCATGTTCATTTGTCCAGGATGATATAAAAGCCATGGTGGCACATTGATTAGAATGCAGTATTGCAGGCTAATTCTGCTGACTGCCAACTGTCAGCAGTTCAGCAGTTCGAGTCTCTCCCGCTCAAGGTTGACTCAGCCTTCCATTATTCTGAGGTCAGTGAAATGAGGACCCAGATTGTTGGGGGCAATATGCTGACTCTGTAAACCACTTAGAGAGAGATGTAAAGCACTGTGAAGTCTAAGCACTATAAGGACTCCTGCCTTGGGCAGGGGTTGGACTAGAAGACCTCCAAGGTCACTTCCAGCCCTATGATTCTATGATTCCTAAGCTCATTTGACTCAAAAGATCAAACTCTTTGGTACTCTGGATTTTCTGATTTCCATTCTCATCTTCCTCCCTATAATGTGGTATAGCGGTTAAGCCCCCAGGCTAGAAACAGGAGACCATAAGCTAGCTGGGCGACTATGGGCCAATCTCTCTCTCAGCCTTCAGAAGAAGGCGAGGGCAAATTACTTCTGAATTGTTGCCAAATAAATTGCAGGGACCTGGACAGGCAGTTGTCAGGAGTCAATGCTAACTCAAACGCACACAAAAAAATGTAAAAGTATGTTTGTGTGCATGTACATGTGAAATGATATAAATTTAACAGATACGTATAGAA